ATCGGATTTTTTTAAACCGGTTATTTTAACCGGTTTGGAGAAAAAAACCTAGACCGGTTTTTTTACCGGAAAAAAAACCGGTTAAAAAACCGGTTTTTATCCGAAAAAAAACCGGTATGGGTTTAAAAAACTAGCCGTTAATATAGCCGTTGAGGGGGTTTTGTGACCGTTTTTTTCTTTAAAAAATTACCATTTTACCGCCCTAAACATGTATAAATAGGTTGGGGATGTATTTGGTTGATTACAAATTCCTCAAATCTTATTACACAACACTTAAACATCTCTCAAATCTTACTTTTGTAATTTTTTGTTCATCATGAGTAACACGGCTGAATCTTCCGTCGGGGGAAACCTTGAAGTCGTGAGAGTGATCGAATACACTCGAAACAAAGACATTTGGGATCACTACGATTTATGTGAGATGTCAAATGGCTTGAGGAGGGCGCGTTGTAAACTTTGTCTAAAGTTTCTTGCATCGGAAGGAAACACAACGTTGAAGAACCATTTGACAAAATCATGCAAGGCACTTCGCTCAAGATCGGATCCTAGTCAATCGAATCTTACACCGCAAGGTGGTGTTTTTGTTTACGACAACGAAAAATTACGAGAAGCGTTTACAAAGTTCGTGATTACAAAAGCATTGCCGTTCGACCACTTTGATGATGAAGATTTCACGACAACAATTCAACAACTAATGCAACCACGTTATACTCAAGTAAGTCGTACTACCCTTAGAAGATATGCTATAAAAATGTGGCGTACGGCGAGGGAAAAAATGATTTTAGGATTCCAAGAACACCGTTATGGTGTGTCGCTTACATGTGACGTTTGGAGTTCCCCTCATAATACCGGAAATTCTTTTTTAGCCGTTACGTCACATTGGTTAGATCAAGATAATTGGCAAATGATGAAAAGAACAATCGCGTTTGAATTATTCGGTGAGCCGCATACCGGTGTTAATTTATTTACACTTTTAAAAAGGGTAATTTGTCTTTATAAATTAGAAAATAAAGTTTTTTCTATATCCTTTGATAATGCATCGAATAATACAAACGCGGTTCCAAGATTGAAAATATTACTTTCACCGATTTTAGACGGTGCGTTTTTTCATACCCGTTGCGTTGCACACATAATTAATTTATCCGTGCAAGCCGGTTTGGAGGTTATTGAGCCGATTAGATTAGAATTCAAAACAATGATAAAATCGGTTCTTTGTAACAACAACAAAAGACTAAATGATTATAAACGATTTTGTAAGTCCGTTAATAAAAAAGCTTTGGGTCCTAATTTGGATTGTCCAACTCGTTGGAACTCAACTTGGATGATGATGCATACTACCTTAAGGCAAAGGGAAACATTGTAAACATTTCACGATCGGCTTTTCGAGTGGGGTCATGTCCCAAACATTTATCCGGATTCGAGTTGGGAAACTATAGCCAAAATAACCGATTTGCTTGAGGTTTTTAAAAATGCAACAACTTTTTTATCCGGTGTTTATTACCCTACTAGCCCGTTGGTTCTTAATCAAATATTTTTGTTGGCTACCCGACTAAATGACTTTGAATTTGAAACCGAAGTTTTTCAAGAAATTGGCTTTGCAATGAAGGAAAAACTTTTAAAATATTTTAAGGAGATTCCCCCCATTTTTACTTGTGCCGCCGCTTTAAACCCAACGTTAAATGTTGGTGGGGTTGAAACACTAATTGAACAAATTGCGTTTGCTTTTAATCTAACCGATGATGAACCCAACTTTGTCCAAAACCAAATAAATTATTTTAACAAATGTTTTCGAGACATGTTTGCAATTTATTTAAATAAATACGGATCAAGTAGTGTAATACACGATCAAATGAGAATGAATGCGGAATCATCTAGTAGACGTCCAAGTAACATAAATTTGAATCTTTTTAACACTCTTGTAAATTCCCAATCCAAACGATCACGTACTACCACCCCAAGTAGCGAGTTGGGAAATTATATGTCATGCGATTTTCTATCAAAAATGACATTTGAAGAGTTTGAAAGTTTGGATATTTTGGCTTGGTGGAAAGAAAAGGAAGCACAATTTCCGATTCTAGCCGCCATGGCCCGTGATTTACTAACCGTCCAAGCTTCTACGGTAGCTTCGGAATCCGCTTTTTCTGTTAGTGGCAGGGTATATCGCAACGGAGATCAAGACTAAGTCCCGAGTCGGTGGAAGTATGCATTTGTTTAAAGGATTATTTGGATGGAGCGGCTCGTAAGCAACATATCACCACCCTAGAAGATGCAATTGATGCCGATTTGGAAGCAAACTTACACATTGAAGAAGTCGAACTTGGAATATCCCCTCCAAACGAAGAAGGCGAAGATGATGAAGAAGAGATGGCAATGTAGTTTATTTTATAACTTTATTTCAATTATCGTAAACTTTGTTTCAATTATCGAACTTGAAGTTTTTAAGTATTTGAATTTATCGAACTTGGAAGTTTTTAAGTATTTGAATTTATCAAACTTGGAAGTATTTAAGTATTTCAATTATGTTGAGTTAATTAAGTATTTCAATTAAGTATTTAAATTTATCGAACTTGAGGTTTGATGCTTTCTCTTTGATTCTCTCTTGATTCTAGTTGCTTGATGTTTCTTGTCTTTGATCAATGGCTTCTAAGCTTGCTTAAATACACTTTGAATCACTTCTGAACTTTAGTGATAATTAATGAAGATAATATAGCCGTTTAAGTGTGAAAACATTTAATAAAAATGCTTGGAGCGTGGGGGAATCGGTACCCTCATAGGGAATCGGTTCCCTAAGTGTAAAATTCAAATATTTCGACCGTTGAATAGGGGGGAATCGGTACCCCCTATGGGAGAATCGGTTCCCTCCGAGCATTCTGGAAATCTCGGAGCCAAACCATTCAGTGAGGAATCGGTACCCCCTTGGGGGGGAATCGGTTCCCTATGAGTAATCTGGAATATTAAAATCGGTTTTTTATAACCGGTTTTTTAAAAAAACCGGTTTTTTTTAAAACCGAAACCGGTTACACCGGTTAGGATATCCGGCCCTCCAAACGTGTTAAAAACCGAACCGGTTATTTTATAAACCGGTTTTTTTTCTATGAGAAAAAACCGGATCGGATAAAAACCGATCCGGATCGGTTTGAAATCCGACAAATGTTCATCTCTACCTACAGGCAGATGTCCATCGCCCTGCGAAAGAACATGAAGTTAGCAGCAAAATTTTATGGGCCTTATCGAATTCTGGAAAAAATAGGAACAGTAACCTATAGATTAAACTTACCAGATTCATCGAGCCTCCACCCCGTCTTCCATGTCAGCCTTTTGAAGAAATACATCGGGGATTCCTCCAGTGCTGCAACGGCTCATCCTGCAGTAGATAAAGATGGACAGTTTAGAATTCAACCTTTGAAGATTTTGGCCAGACGAATAGTGAACAGAAACAGTAAACCAGTAACTAAGCTTTTGGTTCGATGGGAAAATTTGGATGAGTCGAACGACACGTGGGAAGACTATTTGGTTCTAAAAGGACAGTTTCCTAGCTTCGATCCTTGGGGACAAGGATCTTCTCGTGGGGCGGGTATTGTTATGGTCGGAGAAGAAGAAGAACGGCGAGGAGAGGAGGATTTGGGAATGAACGAGAGAGGAGAGGAATTGGGAATGGATGCACGAGGGTTAGGGATTGGAAAATGTAATTTGGGAATTAAAGCACGAGGCAGTCAGGTGATTATTTTACCCGATGAGATAGAGCATGCCAGACGGATCAGAGGAAGGTTGGAGCAGCCCAAGCGAGATGGTCCAATATCTGCTGAAGAGAAGAAATGAAACAAAACCATTATGTTAGTATTCAGTTAGTAAAAATGCCAGCTGGCACTAATTAGATTCCCATACTATTTTGTAACTAAATAAAATACCTGCTTGTAGTCATCTTCTCCTTATGAAATGAATGAAAGAATTCTCATCTTTCTTGAATCCCTTTTCTTCTCTTCTTTAATCTCAATTCTGTCCATTCTTCGTCTAATTTTCTTCTCTAATCTCCTAGGGTCATAACATATCCATGAATATTTAGCGTAAAGAAAACTATCTAACTATTTCAATCTTTAGATTATAGGATCATGGACACCTCTTCTTGCTGATTTTTTCAGATCATATAGCTAGCTGGTCAGCTAATATGTGGGGGAAGAAAAAGTGGCCTTTTCTGCCTCCTCAGCAACTTAATCTTCTTTTTGACAGGCATGGACAACTTCTTGCTCAATATAGCATCAGATAGGTGTATGTTTGGAGATTTAAGCATTCTAGCTTTCTTTTGGACTTGGTGAAAGGACATTTAGTTAGTTTTAGAATTATAACAACTATATCTTTGGCATTTATTGTTGTTGTTGGAATCCTAGAGAAAGACAATAACCAGCTGAGTTGATTGAGTTTGTCTTGCTTCACACTTATGCTGAAGTCGGTTAAGGTGCTATAGACGCAGAACAAGAGTAAAGAGTCTCTGAGAGATCCCTTACCTCAATGGCGTATGGCCCTTTAAATAAGAAGCCTCAATTAATCAGAATCAATTAAGGTCTGACTTGCGTTCGTTGGATGGTCTATAATTTTTTCCCCATGGTGTTTCTAACAAATAAAGAGGTGTTGCAATGATATGTTCCAAAGCTCCGGCGTTGCTGTAGTTTTCCAAAAGCTTTAGTTGCAAGCATTATATAGATGTTTAGCTTTCTTTCCAGTGATGAATGGTGCGTCTCTTTTGAACTCACAATACAAAGTCGCTCTGGGAGACACAATATCAATAAACCACAATTGGTTCAATGGCTACAATCTTTCCTGGGTGGTAAGTGCAAATTCCTACGGACTTGTTTTTCAGAAATATAATAACCCTGTTCTAGTATGGTGTTATGAGTCTGGAAGGCCTCTGTCAATGCAATCTTGCAACAAATACAGGTATGGAAGCATTCAAGCAAAGCTTGTGGAATGGAAGTGTATGCATTACAGCAGGAAACTTGACCTAGATGAATTGTTTACATATATATAATCCCCAGCTGGGAGGGCAAATCAATCTTCCAGGGGATCAGAAATATACAATGATTGATAGAGAAAAAAAAATCTAAGAATCAAGCTGGGATGAAAACTAAATACCCAGAGAGAAAAATTGGGGTAAAAAGGAAAATAAAGGGTTCAAAGTTCAAACAGTCAAGGACATCTTACATTCCTTCCAGGGCCACCATAGTAAAAGTAAGTACCCCAAGCATTGTTTCTTCCTTGTCTGATGTCATAACAATTTGAATGATCAGCCAATATTCGAAGGCTTTTCAAAGGAACCAAATTATTATCCCAATCTACCGTCTGCAAGTTCCTGAAATAAGCTGCCTTCCCAAAGCCTTCTCGTGCGAAACGGCCACTTCCCATTTGTGTTGATGTGTGAAACCCTGAGGATCTGGTGTTCACAATTTCTCCTCCGAACTGTACCATGTTTGCATGGCTTCTCAAGTGGTTGAAAAGAAATGTAGGCCAGTATCCCACCAGTAATCCCGATCCAAATTCTAACCACCAATGTCCGTGTTTTGGATCCTACAAAACAACAGCTTTTTTATATGTTGGATGTCGTAAGATAGTTATGTTCATAACTTGGTTTTGTTGAATGGAGGGAAGCACTCACCTTCCAAACCATTAAGCCAATATCGAACTGTCTTCCATTGTAGGAGGACCTTGGAGATATAGCTGCTCCAATAGCAATTTTGTTGTTGATTTGGACAAATCCAGGGCAAAGCAAGTTGTAGCATCCTGTGGTGTGGTATGCATCACTCTGTAAATTCAAAGTTTATTAGCAGTTGATTCCCCATTTCCGATTTTGAATATTGTTCACAAACTTGAAAAGACAAGAAGATTGCTAGACATTATACTCACTGTCCAGTATGTGAAGAACCTTGGGCGATTATCTCCATATAGCTCAGGGCTAACCTGAAGAAACATGAATATGCAACTTATTTCAGCAAGCAGATATTTTACCAATGGTTTCTCGATTCAAAGCTTCTTGAATCTTTGTTCTAAAAGTTTAGGGACATGCCTGCCAACCAGCTTCAATGGTATTCAGATCATTGCCAAAAGAACCAGAGATGACCCATATCTGTGACAAGCTAAACTCGTATGGGTTTGCCACATGAGGGGCCCATATGTTTAAGCTTGCCTTCGCTCCATAATATTGATTTCCATTCTCAAACACAACCGCATGCTGCAATGAGAGAAGAACAAAAAGTGAACTGTCTATACTACTTCTGCTCTACTCATCTGAATCCGGGGTTACTAAAACAAAATCATAGCTTCACAGAGAACACTTGGACAGAATGCAAGAGAATATGTTTTTCTGAGATCAATCTCGTTGTCAAGTTCTTTAGGTGTTTCTATTGCTCCAAGTAATTTAAGGTTGATGGTACCAACCTCATGACCGCTGTCTGTGGAGTCTCTCCACACATATCTTCTTCTTCTTCCATATCTTCTAACAGAACTTGCTCTCAGAATGTCTTTCTCAGTTGTCCTTCTGATTGGAACAGTCCCTTTGGGGCAGGATTCACCTGTGTCTGTCCAAAGCTGGAAGCTCTCAGAGCCTGCTTCCGTAGAGTTATGACCTCTCGGCATCGCCGGTGGATCCTGTCGAAATGAGGATTCCATTAGTGTTTGCTTCATTCTCACCGACACTAATGACTAAACTATAATGTCTTGAAACTTAATGCATTCATGTCCCTATCTAAAGCAGAAATTTTACCAATAGCTTATGCCCTCGAAGCTCGGGGTGATCAAAAGCAGGTTGACGGTGAGATGGAACGCAATCTATGATATCACCATCTGGACTCTGCAGCAACAAACGAAGAAACCAAAATCATATAATCATCAGGCTGACGAATCAAAGACCGGCTGAAAATTTCAAAGAAGATGCCTGAATGGTCTTGACAGGAGGCTTGTTTATTTTCTTGAGATAAGCATCGACTCTCCTTAGCTTCTGAATGTCTTTATCAGTGTTTAAAGTGTGGTTCGCCAGTTGCCGGTTACCGGAATCTGGTAGCGATGGAAAAGGTAGGACAGGACCAAGAGAGGAAGAATAAACAACAAGAAGGAAAACAACAAAAATGGGAATCATTGAGAAAGTAGAATTGTGGAAAACAAAAGGAGTCATATAGTGGAAAGTTTTTGTGCTGTTTGCTCTGAAAGTAAGGATTCAGTTTGTATGCATTGGCGTTGTCATGTTGTGCTCAAAAAACAACATGGTTGACTATTCCAAAAAATTAACCCTGGAATGGTAAATCAATCTCTCTCTTCATATCCTTACAAAACCGCAAGAAACCCCCTTCTTCTCAGGCCTTACTGCTCCACTTTCATTTCCAGTGCTCTTCCATTGTTCAACATATAAACAAAACGGAGAGTTTCTAAGAAAGTGCCTCGGGATTTTGAGTTCTGAGGGTACACACAGTACACTAACACACCAGGAAACTTGAAGCACCACCAGCTCTTTGTCTCAATCAGAGCTGGTCCTGTACTTTCCAAGTTTTAACTTTAACGGGCCGTGCTGTGCACTTAGGCAAACGGTTCTCAGTTTTATATATAAAAAAACAATGATTTTGTGCTGTCAATATAGTATATTTCATTGTATCCAGGCTCGTTTTTATGTTATGTATAGCCTATAGGCATAGTTTGTACTGGAAAAAGAAAAGAATGACACCACACTTGTACAGTTACCGTGGTGCTACATTCTTGAAGTTTGGAGTGGAAGAATATGTAGAGAAACAACTGTACATTTTTGTGGGGTATTTGTGATCATCATGTCAAGCAAATCATCATGAGGATAAAACTTAGGACCCTCTTTCTTGCTTTCCAAAATCTAAACGATTACTTAAATTCGTGTGAGTATCGTATATAGATATGTCTCAAATACGCATACTTTGTAAACGGAACAAAAAAAATTCATTCACCATACTGGGCTATGCTTAATGGAGTTTGAAGCTGGTAGTTGGCTGATCTGATGAGCCACTTAATGCATGGTACTGGCAGTATCCTGGTCTGGTATTCGCAGGCATCAACAAATTTCCTAGTCGAGAATCGCACTTTAAATGGCTGGGAAATTACAGTCATCTCATAACTCCTTATCATTTTGGACCGAAGTTTGTAGAATTTGTGATCACTTTTATAGGAAAGTGCAGCAACTACCTAAAATTTATTGACAAAGAAGTAAAAGACAAGACAACAACCTCAACAGATCCACAATATTACTACATTAGCAGCAAAATCACTCAAAGGTATGCAGAGGTTAATAGGGCAGTGGGGCCTTAGGCATTTCAGTCAAGCACCAGCACAACATCTGTTCCTTCAGCTTGAAGTTTGGTCCCCAAATACTCAAAACCATGAGACTAGTGATGGTGAAGGCAAGACAGTAGAGAATTAGAGGGAAAGAATGATGGATTAATCTAGAAATTATAATGCTTTGGAGGGGGCAAAAAGATATGGGGCATTGGCCTGGGTTAGGGGTGCTTGCTTGCCACTTTTAATTCCATTGATTTATCCTTCTCTTCTTTTCAGAAATGGCCACCCACCTCTGAAGCGAATTAAAGGTAGCTAGCTGTTGAGGAATGTTGGGCCACTGCTATGCTATGCAAGTCACCCTCAAGTAAATGCAACTGGCCGCCACCAGGCATGGGAATTAGCTAGGATTATCATTTATTAACCCTTCTCCATCTACCTGCCAATTTCATGCATGTATTTCTTTTAAGCATTCAATTAGTATAAACATGAATATGCAGCTAAATCGTCAGGGTCCAAGTCTTGATCAGTATAGAGATATGGTATAAAGAGTAATTAAAATCAGAGTGGATTTTAATATGGTTTATATATAAGAATGATGAACGCACAAATACGGAAATGGCGTTTTCAATTCTTTTAATACTTTTAACACCACATGCCACCAATCCAGTAAAGTCCAAAAGATAGCAATGTGCTGGTTGGATCGATGGCGATGCATGTTTCCCACCCACAATGAAAATGCGGGTAGAAAATTCACCACATTTAGGCATTCACCTTTTATTTTTGTTCAAATTAACCCAATAACTTGATAAATTTCTATAAATACTTCAACTAAACTAGACAGGTTTAGAGGTCAATTTGACCTCCTGAAAAATAGGGATTAGTTTGATTAAAGTTGACAAGGTTAGGAGTCATTTTAACACAAAAAAAGTTCAAGAACCAATTTAACTTAACTGAATAAAAAGAAGGATTAATACTAAAATAAGTGTTCAAACTATACTTTTTTTCTCAAATAGGTGACTAAACTATTTTTTTACTCATCCACGAGTCTAAAGTTACAAACGTTACCCATTTAGGTGCTCGGACCATCAACGACGTTAATTTCACCCGTTAAGTGACATATGTCATAATATGGTGAGTTTGAAACTTATTTTTTTAGAAAAATATTAAAAATATTATTATATTTATAAAAAAAACCTTAATTTCTCTTAAATTATAAAATAACCCCCAAATCCCTAAAATCCCTAAATACTAACCTTAACATGCCGTCACCGCCCTTTCTAGCCACAACCACAACCACAACCGCCAACGTAGTCTCTACCATCCTCCTAGTCATACATCGCCATAGTTGTCGTCGATTGGTCATCGGAATCACAATTTTCAGCCTAGGGTTTGCGGGATAAAAAACTTCGATTCGTCGTCGATCGGTCACGATTTCATAGGGGTTTTGGTCGTCGGGAGCTTCGTTAACGGCAAAGGGCAACGATCGACTTAGTTTTAGATGTTGAAATGAAGGTTTTCAAATTTTTGGGTTTATTTCAAATTTTGTGTTATTTTTTCTAAAAATATATAATTTTAATTTTAAATAAAAATTTTAAATTTATCATATTGTGACACGTGTCACTGAACGGAAAAATTAATATCGTTGACGATCCGAACACCTAATGAGAAAACGATGTAGTTTGGGTGCTATTAAGCCTAAAAGGAAGGTTCATTTTATATTGAATGACATATTTTTTGAAATGAGAGTGCAATAATGAAACTCTAACACGTCATACTATTGTCCCAAAGCTTGAAGGGAGTGACATCGCTATCGAAAATGTTAGCTGAGTGGGTAGCAAGTAACGGAGGTTGGAGATGCTGATGGATCATCCATCTGACTTGGACCATGTGACACCGTCTTTATGCTCAACAAAGTTGAAATTTGATAATGTAAAACATGGGTACAATAAAACCACTTTAATCTTCGTCTGCCTCTGCCTCTGCCTCTGCCCCCATTCCACTTTACATCTTTTACACTAGTTCCTGTAAACTTCAAAATATTAAGTTTATGCAAGGATTAATCCTTTTAAAATTATAAGATAACCATAATGTAATGGTAAAATTTTATTTTTTATATTTCGTTTTCCAAAAAGCACATGAAATCAAAAGCTGGACAAGACCACACCAACTCGATGAGTACACACTTGGTTTGGGCTTAACATTCACCAATATCACAAGGACCTGGACTCAAGCGGGTTGACCCGTTCACATTTGAGTTAGGCGTCAAGTGGAACTAAGCCCATCTTCTTGTCGAGACGAGACAACAAACCGGGTGTCACCATGGGATTTGAATGCTGTAGGTAATATATATATATATCATTTTATCTCTTCATTAATATTTTTCGAAATAGCAGAAGAAAGCAAATTCATTTTTGAAGCTGTTTTGAGGAGAGGATAGGAGCTGAAGATATCACATCGTCTAACGGTAAGTCTCTTCTTCTTCTTCTTTGTTTCAGTTTTAATTTTTTTAAGCTAGTTTGAATGCATTTAGGGTTTTTTTCTTCCTGAAGTTTTGTTTTTTGCTCAAATTGGAAAACTGGAATCAATAAAAGCAAAAAAATAATGGATTGAATTCGACTTGTATTTTAATTCCCATAAAAGAACGTGGAATTTTAGTTATTCGTGTAGAAATTGGTGTAATTTAAAGTTATTAGCCTCAGCCCCTGTTTGCACAGGGATGGACGCAGGAATTTAGCGAACTTGAACTTACAAAATTTCAGGCGAAAACAGATTTTTAATAGAAAATACATAGAAAAAATCTAAAATATATGGTCCCTGCCTGTTTGGATGCTGAGAAATAGAGAGAAGTTAATGTCAACATGTGTTGATACTTTTAAAATGGCAAAAATTTTCAGTTCAGTTTTTTTCCCCGAAAACAAAGTTAAAGTTGATAGATTTCTCTTTCAGTTTCGCCAACTTAACTGAGCTCTCATTTCTTCTTCGCATTCTCATCCGACTTTTGTATAAATATCAGTTGTTTATCTGTATTATAAATCTTTGCTCAATATTTTTTATTGCTACAATTAAGACAAGGTGAAATTTGTTCCTGTAATGATTCACTCTATGGCTGGTATTGTTCTATCAGGTTTTCAGCGAGGGTCTCTTATTTGGTTCTTGTTGATATTTCTTTCATATCATTGTTTGTTGGAATTTCTTGCTTACATATAGTTGAATGCTTCTTTCCTCGTTTGATGATATGTTCATTTCATTTGTTTAGGCCTTGTTGAATAAATGTTTGGGCGCTTGAGGCGAAAGTTGTGACTATGGCATTGGTGATCCATCAATTGCAGGTATAAGAAATTTTGTTACTAATACTAATAGACTAGGAGTGTATGAATCAGGGCCTTCAAGTAAAGTTCTTTAAAAACCAAGAGTGTGATGGCCGAATTAAAAAATTCTCACCTTGCATCCAGGACAGATAGGTCCATCCAGGTGCTGTTTGTCGAATCCCATGAGATGCAAAATTCCATTTTGTCAGCTCTTGTTTGCTTTGCTTTGAGAAATTTTGTTTATTGAGGAAGAGAGTCATTTGTTATCGCATCTAAAAATATAGGGAGCAGAGCTTTTTTTTGGTATTTATCTGAATGTAAAGTATATTGGCCATTTTTTTTGCATTTTAAGGTTCATATGTAGCCTTCCTTCAAGGCCATTTTTATTGTACTGCAGGGTTCTTATGTAGCATTTCGTTCAAGGCCTTTATCATGTAGGAAAGGATTGACATTAAGGATACCTGTAGCTACACTTCATATGCTTGGGAGAAGAAAGAAGGGCACATCACTGAGGCACTCTACTTGTTTATGGTAAGCAACACATTCCATTCTGGTAGCTTGTCTCTTAGTATAATGGTTGGTTTGATCAATTTGCGTGGTGCATATGGAAGTGGTGATCTGAAAGGTCTTTGACTAATGCTTTTAATTTAGCATATGGAATTTATCGTAAGAAAAATCCAAAATGTTTGGTCTTACTACGTTTTTTCCTTTCCCCAGTTTTCCCATTTTTTAAAAATTAAATTTAGAAGTGAAGGTACAAGTTAGTGAAAGGAGGTAGGGAATCAACAGATTACCAATGATTGTAAAGAAAATAGGCAATGAGATCTCTCTAAACTGAAATAAAAAAAGAGGCCTTTTCTTTCTTTCTTTCTTTTTTCTATCTTTTTGCAAGAAAAAGATGTGAAGGAACAAGTTAGTGAAGAAGTGGTAAATTGAATTCGAATATGTTGAAACTTGAAACTGTAGCATGTACTCTTGGTGTTTTTATATTTCATTCTGAATTTTGTGTGATGTGGTGCAACATTGTAAATGGAAAGTTGTTCATTGCTTCTGATTGCCGGGGGTTAATGACGTAATGGTGCTAACATAATAACATTGCCTGAGTAGAGCAGTGATGCTATCTCTGACTCTATAAAAACAGGTCTATGCTAATCATGTCTTTTTGTCATTGATGCGTTCTCTCTTCTTGGATGAGCAAATTCTTGCCTCAGAATTCTTATTTATTTTCCTTTACACGCAAGGATAACAAGAACACTTTTGCATGATATGAAAACGGAGAAGGTGCATTGGTGCCATTCTACTACTATTCTCTCTAATTAAATATTTCTTTATTTTAAAACCAAAATATTTTGTTCTCATCTGCATTTTTTATGCATTTATTGTTGCTGTGGAAAAGGGATGAAGTGAACTCTCTTTCTTTTCTTCTTTCCATTTATTATTTTTCTTATATTATCTTTCACAATCCTATTTTCCTTTCATTTTATTCAAATGCTTCCTTTTTAGCTGTATGCATCTTGAGCATTTAAATTAAGATATGCTTATTTTAGCAGTACAGGGGCTCATACTCTTGGATTGGACTCCAAAAATATTAGAATTTCTGCCTTCAAAGGCAGTGTTCTGAGTGATGAATCAGGAGACAGAAAACATCAGGGGAATGTTCCAAAGAGTTCTATTAAAGTTTCTTATGTTCCAAAAGATGGTGAAGCGGCCACGATAGAATCTTCCAAGGCTCATAATGGTCCAGTTGCCTATGCCTCGGAAACTGGTGAGAACGTTGTGGGATCACCTGCTATTCATAAATTATTCAAGAAATGGATAATTATGTTGCGATCACAGTCCCCAAGTCAAGTGGTGGATGATGCTTTGGGAGAAGCACCTCCTAAAGATGTATTAGAAACTCAAGTTGGCACCCAAAGTAATAGAAAAGGCGAGATTCTAAAGATTGTTTGGTGCTATTTCTGGGACATGAATGCTGCAATCAAAATACCCTTATTAATATTGTAAGTATAATAAATGTGCTATCTCCCTTTCCGCCCCCATTCCGTCCCCAGAATTATTTTCTAGCAGTGTATATGATTTATTACCGTGTGGCATTATGTTTGTGATATCAAATGGCTGTGTCTACTAAAAAGAGTGAAGAGTGAAAACCATAAAGTTCACATCTTGACAAACCGTAAGGACTTCTGGTAAGCATCTGATAAACCATTGTCAAGTTAACCGATTCCCTGATTCTTATTTTGTTCTTGTCAATCAATCCTAGTACTCCTCATTCTTGGCCTGGGATGATTTGGTAAAAATTGTGACTTGGTTTTCATTCTCTTATTAATATCTTTTGTCAATTATTTTGAGTTGTCCTATCATTCCATAACATGAATAGTAATTAACTTGATCTGGGGATGAAAATGCGGTAACTATACCTACATACATCACTAACAGTTGGTCTGCCACATGTGCAGTGTTCCATGGTACCTTGGTGTCAATTTGATATATGGGGTCGAAGTTTCAAAGGAGTTGACTCCGCTATGGGTGTTTGGGCCCCTGATTGTTGCTCTTTACATCAAGATGCTTAGAGGCTTGTGCACGCTGTACGTTTTCTGCTCCAAGCAGATGGTTCAACTAATTAGGAAATTACCTACTTACTATCTCCTGGCTTCCAATTATATCGCACGTGGAAAGCTGAAGGAAGATGTAAGAGCTCTTGTGTGGCAACCTGTGGAAGACATGAAGAACTTGGACTACAAAGAGGTATGGAGAAAACAGGTGAATGATTTTCAAGAGCGGTTGATGGAGAAGTACCTGGACTTTTTGGAATCAATATGGCCATATTACTGCAGAACAATCAGGTTTCTAAAGAAGGCTAATTTCATTTAGGATTGGAGTTGTTTGATCCGAGTACAGTGTTAGGCGAGGAATTAATGCAGTTTAGAGTTGGAAACTACAATTTTGGAACAACAGAGGTAGCTGAGTGCAAATCCCATATTTGTACGGGTGGTGCGATGACAGTTGGAGTTAAAAAGGGTTCAAACAGAGGTAGCTGAGTGCAAATCCCATATTTGTAACCGAATGTTGTTCTTATTCTGCCATATTTGTACGCGCTGTGTGATTTGTTTACTTTCCCGTTTGCGTTGTCACTCTTTTTTTATCGCTCACTCCTAGTAAGTAGTAACGAATATCTTTGAATCCATTTTTCTCCAGTTGTAAAGGTCAGGGTGCTTTTTTTTTTTCTACTATAAGGGAAAGAAGATGGTGGTTTTCCATGATCAAATCCGAGATTGGTATTAAGGGAGGATTTGATACTTTTTTTTTCCTTTTTCTTTTTTGTAATTTTCTCTATGGTCTAGTTGACTGTAAAAATTGCAAAAAGGCCAGTTAGCAGAGGGTCGGGAAATGTTTTTATAAATGTTTTTGTTGCCTTGAAGCGTGTAGTCATGAAACTATAATGTTTTGTATCTATCAGATGTTGGGCAAAATGCTTCTTAAAAGCTAAGGTGCTAAATGCTTCTTAAAAGCTAAGGTGCTAAGCATTTTAACGGTGTGAACCGCCGACATCCTCCAACCCCAGTCCGTGTATCAACACTAATCGTACAGCATAATTGTTAGAAAGGCCTCCTGAAGGCATAAATTTGCATCTACTGTTAGTGGATCATACACCAATCAAATTCAAGTTTGAAATTGATTACTTGAACCGTAATAACAATTGATTATTTCTTGTGTCATGATTCATGAAATACGATAGACACATACAAAACCGGTCAATGTTTTTGTTTTAGAAGGGTAAACAAACTGTTCAGTCGAACAAGGGGGAAATTAAGATAGCAAACATTGCAGCAAAAAATGTTAGCATCCAACTCATACATATATGTACATACATATCTTCAACTTGATGCTTGACATGAAACATCTAGGGTATACACCAACTCTTAACACAAATGAACCCCCCATAATGCTAAGGCCATGCCAACTCTGGAGCTATGAACACATTGGACCACAGATGTTATAACTGCCATTAATCCAGTCTGCTTCTTGAGCGTCGACCTACCAACCCAAGCCATCTGAAGGTAGTTGATACATAGAATCATATGCTACAAACAGGACAAAACTACCTATGATTTATCTAAATCAGCACTTGAAGTGATTATTTTTCATCCTCTTACTAACTAAATTGACTTAAGATTGCATTATGTGCACAAAGGGGTTGGCAACTATGAGCAAACTCGGCCTTTTTGCGCTCTGTCCCGTCCTTCGGACACTGGCATATCTCTTTCTGCTAACATCTTTTGTATGGCACAAACCCCTTACTACATTTCTGGGGAGTCAATTTAACCTCAGGAGACTTTTGGCAATGAAAATCAACAGAATCTGAATTCTTCTCCCTATCTCCAGTTTCCCTAGCTGAGTCGGTATTTGAACCTGTGGAAGATCTTTCATTCAGAGTTTCCTTCTCTTTCGCCCCTTCTTTGGAACAATAGTCTTTACGTGTTTGATTCAATGAAGTGATGTAATGAATGGGTAGACCTTGGTAAAGAGCCCACCACGGCACAGGAGCATTACTGGTGTATTCTACACGGTCATTTTTATCTGAGTGGATTTCAATACAAGGGGATAAACTTGATTTGGAAGGTACCCTGCCCCAATCGTCGATGACTGGCCCGTGTGATAAATGCAAGTCCAAACATGATGGTAATGCCTGAACAAGTCTCTCACCGACCACATCAGTACCCTCTACACCGTTATTAGATGTGGAAGGTTTACCAGAATCTTTCACCTCAACTGTTATCCCAAGAAGCTTAATACTAGTGAAAGGCAAATCTACTGCTGCTGCATTTCCTTTGGCACAGACAGGTTCCTCAGAATTTTCATTGGATTTCTGAGTAATTACAAGAAGAAAGAAAATCATATTCCAAATTCTAGGTCCGTAATAGTCGTTTTCTACAATGAACAGTTCAGAGATTTTACCAAAGATAAAACGACCTCCTCAGTTGAATGTCCTGATACTTTAACAGAGGCCAGAGATTCATTATCTTTCTCTGTAGATGTCACATAGTCATTTTCTTTTTCAACAGGAGATGCATCGAGGGACTGTATATTAGCAGTGGTACAAGAAATTGGGGAAGAACATCTATTTGGTTGCTCCGAGGCAGAAGACCCCATTGCATCGAAAACAAATGCAGACAAAACTGATGAGGGTGACTTGTTATCCTGTTCTGGAACCAAGTGATTGGGGGATAGAGACCACTCTGGTTGAGATGATGGAGATATTCCTTTGAGTGGAACAACAGATTTGCGGGGATACGGATGCATTGGCTTTCTTTTTGGACGAGGCGGCGGTATCTCAATTGATTTAGTGGAACTCTCAAAGCCACCTTTTGATTCTCGAGCAACCTAAAACCACAAACACGCAAATATGAGATGCCGATTAAAGAAAACTATATAAAAATGTCTACACATGGCATGTTCACAAAAGATACAATCATTTTTCAATCAAGAAAATTTTACATTGAACTTAAGGCAATAAACCTTAGAGAAAAACTTTTGAGCATGACTTCGAATTTGAACAGCCGTTTTTGTGCCTACATGCTCTGCATGAAAACAAGTGTAACTTGATCTGTTCACACCATAACTGGCAAAAGAGTGAATGCAAAAATCTCCAATGTGTACTTACCTTCTATTTGGCGCCAGCCACGACCATACAGCCTTAAAGCTTCAAGAAACTTCTGATGCTCTTCCTCAGTCCATTTTTCCCTTTGCTTAGTTATAGTGTAGGGCTTCCGGACCTATTTTACGGGAAATTTTGAGCATATCAAGAAAAGATTAACAATTACTTGCTGGAGACTATTAGAGAAAGGAAAGGAAAGGAAAGACTTGGGCAACGTGAAGAATGGAACCTTGGGTGTTTGGTCATGCTTAAATGCGTATAACTCCTGCAATAGGGAGAATGACTCAGATTGTTGGCTGCCAATGGAACAGCATAAGCCGGATTTAAGAGCATTAGGTGATTCCGTGCCTTCAATTTGGTCCTATATGAAATTTGCAACAACAGTTAAACAATTAGGAAACACACTTCACATTATAAGGATTATGATATAAGAACTTTCCATTCCAAAAACAAGCCTTACGCCACCACAAACTAATGCTAAACCTTCCCATTAAAGCTGAATCAGGTCCACGCATATATAAGCGCATTGAAACAGTCGAATTGGAATAGCCAGAGGGAAATTAATAAAAAAAATGTTTTCCATAAATTGCAGTAATCCATAAAAGGAACATTTTTTCAAGGTCCAGCGAACATAGTAATAGCAATCAAATAAACAGTAATTTTGCATAGAAGCATTTGACTCAAATTATGCGTACACGCAGGAAATTGACAGCTTTCATTATAATTTCTTCTTTTTCTTGAATCCAACCTTCTAAATTAATAAAGTAGAATGCATAATAACACTACAGGCATAATAACAACACAACAACAACAAAACCCAATTCCCATATGCAATGGGGTAAGGGGAGGTAGGGTAGTAGGCTGCCCCCAACGTCAGGTTGAGAGTAGCTTCCGTGGAAGACATCCGGCAGTCAGAAAATTGAAAATATAGATAAAATGCAAAGCATGTATAAATAAATACATAAATACGTAGTTGAACAGTATTCATATGCAGTCATAAATATCATTAATATTATATGCGCGTTTAAAATGGGAAGTAATCCCTGCAAATAAATCCCTGCGAAAAAATCTCTGCATATAGATAGAAACGTAAGACCCGACTAAATTTAAAAGTAAAGAGAATATTACACAGAAGTCCACGATAGCAAGCTCAGTTCTAAACCTTCATAAATACCAATAACAGAAACGTATAAAAAGTAGAATTCATGAAAATTACTACAAAGGCATTAAAAGAAGACAGAGATGATACACCCTAGAGATGTGACCCACACTACTCGACTACCCTAGTCTTTAGTCTCCATACTTTCCTATCAGAGGTCATGTCCTCGGTAAGGGCTAAATCCATCAAATCAGATCTCAAACAGTCTTTCCACTTCCGCCTTGGTCGTCCTCTCCTTCTGGCACCGTCAACTGTAATCGACTCTACCCTCCTGACCGTATCCGACAGTAGTCGCCTAAGAACATGCCCAAACCACCGTAGTCTTCCCTCCCTCAATTTTTCAGAAAATCTCACAGCATGTCCATCGAAGCATTATCATTTCTACTATAGGCATAATAAGCATACAAATATTGAACTGTGTATGCACCTCGGTTGCCATCGGGAGCAACGGATTTTGCTTCAAATCTTGCAGAGCCTAGAATACTCCTGCAACTCCACCTAAACCAAAATCACTCTCAGTGTATCTATGTACTTTGTTCGTATACACATAATTTAATTATTAGAACTAATTCAACAGGCAGATAAGACTTCTTTCCGATTGCAAAAGAATAGAAAAAAGCTAAAGAGAAAAATCATCTCTGAAACAAGCAGATTCAGGTCCACACGCATATTAAGTGAAACAGTAATATTATCAACAAAACAATGCAGATCAGCTTCAAACTTACCAGTTAAAACGAGAAATCTAGGAAACAGAGATCCGGCAACCAAAGGAAAAATCCGATGATAATTATTAAAAATCAGCAGGAAACTCAAACAGTCGTACTGTACTGATCAGTTGCTGAGAAACGAAGATGAATCGATGTTAGATTTGGATGTCGAATCGAGAAAAGAAGAGGAAGCCGCGAGGATGCATATAATAATTATAATCATATTATTATGTATAAAAAGCACAGTGAAGGATAACACGTCAGATTTTGTTTTCCGTGGAAAACTCGAGAAGGGGCTTGGAGTCTTGTGGCTGAGAACGCTCTGGTCCTTGGCCACGCGTCGTCTTTCGGCGTTTGCACATTCTTTTATTTCAATGAGTTTTCTTCTCCCTTTTATTTTGTGGAAGATATTGAACCGTGGAGGGATAATTCCCCATTACAGATATTTTTCAACTTTTCATTCCCACGCGCGTTTCGTTTCACGCTTCCTCTCTGCTCCAATATTGAAGGAGCGTGGTTTGCATTTGCCTGGGGAATGTGTGGAAAGTGAAATAAAATAACTCTAAAAAAAAGCATAACCTTATTAGAGACAGAAAGTCGGCTGGCCGAAGTGGTGGCGGACGGCGGGTGCAGCCGTGCGTGACACAAAAGCTCAGGTATGGGGACCACCTTACATCTTTTGCGCTTTTTTGCCACATCAGCTCTTCTTTTCCTTAAACGCCACGCGTACCAACTACAGCCAATGTCGCCCAAGTAAATTTTTTTATTTGTAAAATGTACTACTATTTTATTTAATCTTTAATTTAATGTATTGTGTTTAAAAATTTATTTTAATTATTAAATTTTAAAAAATTATAAAAAATTAAAATTTATTAAATTAATATAAACCAATATATTTCATTAAATTATTATAAAATAAAATCAAAATGCTAAATTTATTAAATTTTGAGGTGCCTAGAACATGATATTTAAATTTTCAAGTAATAGTTATAATAAGAGATAAACTAGGAAAGGGCAAAGAGATTGAGAGCCACAAGTTGTGGGGGTGCATTGGGAGTGGTAGGTGGTGGTTCAGCTCAAATATACACCAACAATCCATTTATCCACCACGTCGCCCCATATTCCTTCAAGTTCATGAGAATTCAACTTTTTTATTTCTTTCCAAAGCAGTCAATGCATTTGAAATATGAAGAATAAATATTACTTGATAATGAAATATATATATATATATATATTTATTAATATAAGTAAGTATAAGATAATATTTCTTTTAAAGATAATTCTCAAATCATTTAATATTAAATATTTATACTTATATTTCTGGTGCTCGAACCTAAAAGTTAGTTTTGTGTGTCTATTATTTTAATAGAAAGTGATAAACTTTAATGGTGGGTTGGTATATTGAACTTGTCGTGAGCCATGATTTTTGATATTTTCACATCTAGGGGGAATGGAATCCGAGAGGGTGGCTGTGGCTCTCTAATCACCCACCCTATAGCGCTTGCTTTGGGCCTAATTTAATTGAGTCTAAAATCAAATCCTCGTTACCAATTACTCAACATGGGCCTTTCTATCCTCTTGTCTGTTGAAAATCAATGCACTGAAAGTGCATGGTTTGAAGAAAAAAATATATTGAATTTTATCAACAATTGTAGGCACCGAAAATTAGGTGTAGAAATTGTTGATTTTTTATATGGGCAAATTACAAACTCTAGTCACTAAAATTTAGGATATTTACAAATTAGTCCTTAAAGCTTCAACTATAAATACTCTAGCTCATTTAGCTTCAAAACCATCCCAAAGCATTCTAGCTTTCTTCCAATACTAGAGAGAATTTAGATAGTTTCTTGAGAGTTGTTTTCTCCTTTTTATCAAGAGAGAATTATCATTGTTTTCTCATTGGTAGATCGAGAGAGGTTGTAATTCCTATTTTCTCATAGTGAAATTCTTCTACCGTTGCCCGTGGTTTTTACCCTAAAATTTTAGGGGTTTTCCACGTAAATTTTGTGTCTCTTTTATCTTCATTTTTATTTTCTCAAATTATCAGTTGCGATTTTGCTTTATCCGATAGTCGTCTTCCGCAACAATTGGTATCCGAGCTAGATTAGAGTGTGTAATATATGCTTATTGTCTTTGTGGTTGCCACCAAAAGGTGGATCCTCCAACATAAGAAAATAAGAAGTTATTACCCATTCTTTGAAGGTTCCAAAGAACTATTCACGATAGTGAAATAGTGGGAGCTATCCGTAGAAGAAGCTATGGCAACGAAATTTGATATTGAAAAATTCAATGGGAGAAATTTCTCATTGTGAAAATTAAAGATGGAGGACATCTTAAGGAAAGACGGGTGTCTAGCGGCTATCAATGAAAGGCCGGTGGATTTCGCAGATGACATCAAATGGAACGATATGGACGGGAATGCTATGACAAACTTTCATCTAGCATTAGTAGATGAAGTATTGTCAAGCATCGAGGAGAAGAAGACAGCTAAGGAGATATGGGATCATCTCATCAAATTGTACGAGGCCACATAGCTGCACAATAAAATTTTCCTTAAGAGGAAATTGTACACTCTCCGTATGCCAGAATCTACTTCAGTGACGGAGCACTTAAATACACTGAACACCTTATTTTCTCAGCTTACATCCTTAAGCTGTAAAATAGGAGAACAAGAACGTGATGAACTTATACTTCAAAGTCTACCCGATTCGTATGATCAACTCATCATCAACTTGACAAACAGTAATGTCACCAGTCTAGTCTTCGATGACGTTGCAACTGCTGTTCTCCAAGAAAAAAATCGGCGCAAGAAAAAGGAAGACAGACAAGTAAATCTGCAACAAGCAGAGGCATTGATAACGATGAGAGGGAGATCAACAGAACGTGGCCAAAGCAGCAGTCACAAACATGGTAGATCGAAGTCGAGGAGCAAGAAGAATTTAAAGTGCTACAACTGTGGAAAGAAGGGTCACTTGATGAATGATTGTTGGAGTCTAAATAAAAACTCCAATCCACAAGGCAATACCGCAAACACTTCAGATGATGGAGATGCTCTATGCTGTGAAGCGTCAACCACCGTGGAAGGCAGAAAAAGATTTGCAGATATATGGCTTATTGATTCGGGAACGACATATCACATGACCTCAAGAAGAGAATGGTTCCATCATTATGAACCTGTCTCAGGAGGATCTGTGTATAGTTGCAATGATCATGCCTTAGAGATCGTTGGAGTGGTAACCATCAAATTGAAGATGTATGATGGAACAATTAAAGTTGTTCGAGATGTGCGGCACGTGAAAGGCCTAAAGAAAAATTTATTATCCTACGGATTGTTGGATAATAATGCAAGCAAGATTGAAACACGGAAATGAATCATGAAGGTGTTCCGTGGAGCGCTTGTGGTGCTGAAAGGCGAAAAGATAGCAGCAAACTTGTACATGTTGAAGGGAGAGACTTTGCTAGAATCAGAAGCCTCTATTGCCTCATGTAGTTCAGATTCTACAATGCTATGGCATCAGAAACTTGGACACATGTCAGAACAAGGAATGAAATTCCTTGTGGAGCAAAAGTTACTTCCCGGCTTAACAAAGGTATCACTTCTTTTGTGTGAGCATTGTATAACAAGTAAGCAGCACCGGTTGAAATTCAACAAGTCAAATTCTAGAGGCAAAAGTGTTCTAGAATTGGTTCACTCTGACGTATAGCAAGCACCAGTTACATCCCTAGGCGGAGCAAAATACTTTGTCTCATTTATTGCTGACTACTCCAGGAGATGTTGGGTGCACCCTATTAAGAAGAAGTCATACGTGTTTTCAACTTTCAAAAACTTCAAAGCACGGGTGGAACTTGATTCTGGAAATAAGATCAAGTGTTTCAGAACAGATAATGGAGGAGAATACACAAGCGAAGAATTTGATGACTTTTGCAAGAAAGAATGCATCAAAAGACAGTTCACAGTGGCGAACACTCCTCAACAAAATGGAGTGGCAGAGCGGATGATCAAAACCTTGTTAGAAAGAACAAGAGCAATGTTGAGGGACGCAGGCCTAGAAAAATCATTCTGGGCAGAAGCAGTCAATACCGCCTATTATTTGGTGAATCGAGCTCCATCAATTGCAATAGAGCTGAAGACACCAATGGAGATGTGGACTGGTAAACCAGTTGATTATTCAAACCTCCATGTATTTGGAAGTATTGTGTACGTGATGTACAACGCCCAAGAAATTTCAAAGTTGGATCCAAAATCCAGGAAATGCAAATTCTTGGGGTATGCTGATGGAGTACAGGGGTATCGCTTGTGGGATCCCACTGCCCGCAAAGTGATCATTAGCAGGGATGTTATCTTTGTAGAAGATAAACTACAAAGAAAAGAAGACGATGATAGCGCTGAAAAGTCAGAGACTACTCATATACATGTGGAAAAAGAGTTTGAAGAAGGAGATTCTTCTGAAGCAGAACCAGCACATGATGAACAAGAACCAGAGAGTTCTGAAGCTCCAACAACTCGTCAATCAGATCGTGTGAGAAGACGTCCCAATTGGCACTCAGATTATGTTATAGAAGGTAATATTGCATACTGCCTTTTAACAGAGGACGGTGAGCCATCAACATACCAGGAGGCAATAAACAGCTCAGATGCTTCACTGTGGATGATGACGATGCAAGAAGAAATCGAAGCCCTTCATAAAAATAATACATGGGACCTTGTGCCACTACCACAAGGAAGGAAGCCAATTGGTAACAAATGGGTTTTCAAAATCAAGCGAAATAGTGACGATCAAGTGGAGAGGTATCGTGCAAGACTGGTGGTCAAAGGATATGCTCAGAAAGAAGGTATTGATTTCAATGAAATTTTTTCTCCTGTGGTTCGACTAACAACAGTTCGAGTAGTCTTGGCAATGTGTGCTACATTGAATTTACATTTGGAACAGCTAGATGTTAAAACAGCTTTTCTTCATGGAAATCTATAAGAAGAGATTTATATGCTCCAGCCTGAAGGTTTTGAAGAAGACGAAAAGAAGAACTTGGTTTGCAGGTTGAACAAATCTTTGTACGGTCTAAAGCAGGCGCCGAGGTATTGGTATAAGAGATTTGATTCCTTCATTATGTGCCTTGGATACAACAGACTTAATGTAGACCCTTGTGATTATTTCAAGAGGTCTGGTGATAACGATTTTGTTATATTGTTGTTGTATGTGGATGACATGTTGGTTGTAGGACCCAACAAAGATCATATTGAAGAATTGAAGACACAACTGGCTAGGGAATTTGAAATGAAGGACTTGGGATCAGCAAACAAGATTATAGGGATGCAAATTCACCGAGACAGAAGTAATAGGAAGATTTGGCTTTCACAAAAGAATTACTTGAAGAAAATCTTGTCACGATTTAGCATGCAAGATTGTAAGCCAATTTCTACCCCTCTTCCTATTAACTTCAAATTATCCTCCAGTATGAGTCCTAGCAGTGAAGAAGAAAGGATGGAGATGTCTCGAGTACCGTATGCATCAGCAGTGGGAAGTTTAATGTTCGCTATGATATGCACAAGACCAGACATTGCACAAGCAGTGGGAGTGGTTAGTCGGTACATGACGAATCCAGACAAAGAGAAATGGAATATTGTAAAGAGAATCCTAAGATACATAAAAGGGACCTCAAATGTTGCATTATGTTACGGAAGATCAAACTTACTAATCAATGGGTATGTAGATTCTGACTATGCAGGGGATTTGGATAAAAGAAAATCTACTACAGGATATGTGTTCAAAGTTGCTGGTGGAGCTGTAAGCTGGGTTTCAAAATTGCAGTCAGTTGTGGCTACGTCAACAACAGAAGCAGAATATGTAGCAGCTACACAAGCCAGTAAAGAAGTAATTTGGTTGAAGATGCTATTAGAGGAGCTTGGGCACAATCAAGAGTATGTCTCTCTATTTTGTGACAGTCAAAGCGCCTTGCATCTAGCAAGGAATCCAGCATTTCATTCAAGGACAAAGCACATACGAGTTCAATACCATTTCATTCGTGAAAAGGTGGAAGAAGTGACGGTAGATATACAGAAGATCCATACCAAAGACAACATAGCAGATTTCATGACGAAGGCGATCAATACTGATAAATTTACTTGGTGTCGATCCTCTTGTGGCCTGTCAGAGACGTAAGCAACATGATGGTACATGGTATAAAGAATGATGTGAAGATATGATTGTTCCAATCAAATCTTCAAGTGGTAGATTGTTGAAAATCAATGCACCGAAAGTGCATGGTTTGAAGAGAAAAAAATATTGAATTTTGTCAACAATTGTAGGCACCGAAAATTAGGTGTAGAAATTGTTGATTTTTATATGGGCAAATTACAAACTCTAGTCACTAAAATTTAGAGTATTTACAAATTAGTCCTTAAAGCTTCAACTATAAATACCCTAGCTCATTTAGCTTCAAAACCATCCCAAAGCATTCTAGCTTTCTTCCAATACTAGAGAGAATTTAGAGAGTTTCTTGAGAGTTGTTTTTCTCCTTTTTATCAAGATAGAATTATCATTGTTTTTTCCTTGGTAGATCGAGAGAGGTTGTAATTCCTATTTTCTCATAGTGAAATTCTTCTACCGTTGCCCGTGGTTTTTACCCTAAATTTTTAGGGGTTTTCCACGTAAATTTTGTGTCTCTTTTATCTTCATTTTTATTTTCTCAAATTATCAGTTGCGATTTTGCTCTATCCGATAGCCGTCTTCCGCAACATTGTCTTGTTATTTTCTCGGATATGGTCCCCCAAAGAAAATTACTATATCAGTTCCAAATGAAATCATGTTGGTAAGAAAATTACTATATCAATTACCTAGACAAAGGATGAGCTGCAACCATACCTCTGTATTTCCCTCATCAAGGATCAAACCCACCCCTGTATTTGTATATTATATATACAAAATAGCCCTTAAAGCATTAGGGTAGGTACTAACTTCATCCGTGGATTGATACAGCAACATTCAGACGAGTATCAAAAGTCCAGAAAGAACAATCAGCATCGGAATTTTCTATTCCCCCCTTCAAAACTACTTACCTTGTGATACTTTTGGTTGATGAGTGTCACAAGTCCTTGGAAGAAGCAGTAAGTTGGCTTGTGACAATGATAACTTCGCCATCAGATGCAACACTTGATACCAAGCATTAAACATGGCCGTTTCCTGCCCCCCTCAAAAAAAAAATAAAAAAAAGAAATTTGTATTCCTCAAAAAGGACAAGGACCAAACACTAGGAAAAGATAGGTTGACAATAACAGCCAAAACCCCAGTCATTCATACCTCAGCATCCTCCTCCTCATTAACCCAAATAAACTCTACTTTGAATTGTAGCTGACTTTCTCAACCATAAAAACGAACCAATTTACCTCTATCGGTTAAAGGAATCGTTGTTGTTCCTAGAGGTCACGGGTTCGAGCACCAGGACTGTAGCAGGGTTCATACATAGTATAGTTACTTCTGTTTCAGTAAGATCTAACGTGAAATAAAACATCAAACTTTTTAGAGGTTGAAATGTCATCTTCGATGGTTGCAGATTCCCAGCACGATCCAGAAAAAGAGCAAAGTCTGCTAATAAGGCAGACATGTATATGGAAAATTCTTCAAATACATTGATCTTGTATAAGTTTTGCTATAAATCTTATACATTGATCATGTATAAGATTTGTTTACATACATTATTATAAGCTGTGAATTGTGAATAGACAAGTTGTGTGTTCAAGGCAAAAAGGTGAATAATGATGGACATTTAGAGGTTTGTTTTCTGCATTTCTTCATCATCAAAACTCGGTGTCACCACCATTTTTTTGAGCCGTTAGTCCTTATAAAAATTATCGAATTTGAATCTTGTAGATAAAAAGTTTTCTTATTCCTTGGGGTGGATCCTCTACATAAGGAAGCTATGGTTATATAGATTAGTGGTTCCCAGAAAGAAAACGATAGCCACTCCTCATCCCATATCGTCTCAACTCAACAGTTGTATAAGGTCTACGACCGGAGAATAATTTATTTTAGTAAATGATATAAGGGTAAAGTACACAAATGATCTCTCGACTATAGGATACTACTTTATTAAGTCTATCGATTATTAAAAGTTACAAAATAATCCTTCAACTATAGAGTGTTGTTTTATTAAGTCCTTTGACTATTAAAAGTTACAAAAAGATCACCCGATTATTCATTATGTTTCAAACTCGTCATTTTTCGTTAAAAGCTTAACGATATTATGAGGTGAATGTTAACCTACTAATTGTGATATGAAAAAAATATGATCTCAAAATCTCATATAATTATCACATCCTAATCATCATGTTAACGTCCCACTTTGACAACCACTAATTTTTTAACGAAAAATGAGAAGTTTGGAATATAATGTGTAGTCGGGTGACCATTTTGTAACTTTTAATATCAAAGAAAGGAACTCAATAAAACGACACTCTATAGTTAGATTATCATTTTATAACTTTTAATAGTTGAGGGTCTTAATAATGCAGTGCCCTATAATCGGGAGACCATTTGTGTAGTTTACCTATGATATAAATACATTCTTATCATATTTTATATATTTTCATAAAATAATTATAATTAATTTTAATCATAATTTAACTTGAATATCATTTTTATCGACAGTATAATATTTTTTTAACTTGATTTAATGATTAGACGTCGAACTTTTCTCATGTTCTCATGACCTAAGTAATATAAAACAACAATTTGTGACTAAATTGTAACAATGAATATCATAAATGATTACTCTTGTCATTTACGTAAATTAGAATTGTGTTTACTCAGTTATGAAAAAAATCTAAGGACTTGTCTATATAAAACAATAAAGTTGAGGGTTTTTTCCTACATTTTATCCATACTAGTGAACTTGGTTACGTTTTGCAAACAGCATTGCATACGCACGGCACGGGACAGCAATTGTCAGCCGATTTGGACCCGCATGCCCCCCAAAATGTATATCCTTGTCGATTGGTTAAATCAATAATTCATAAAGGATAAATTTGAAAGCTGCCAAGTTGATGAACAGAAGTCAATACCCGAACCATACAAGTGAGGTGAGGTCCAGCAGCCAGCAATGATAGCAAATAATAAGGATATGGTGCGTTCTTGACTTCTCTTTTAATACTAGAAACTAGCAGCCACTCTTCATCCAAGGTAAAATTGCAAAAAAAAAAAAAAAACCCAAAATGCCTTTGTAAAAGAAAAGCCCCCAAAGTAAACAAAACATTAGTTGGTGGTGTAGATGGATTGGCAGAGCAAACAACGGGACAACAGCAGCAGCAGCAACAACAACAAGAAAATAAGCAGGCTTCTGCTCCTTGACGAGAGAGTGCAGTGCCAGTACGAAGGGGCGTTCAACATCCCCAACTAACCTCAAACACATCCCATTCAATTTATCTCCTCTTTTGAATTTAAGGATGCAAGTTCTCAGGAACTCGGACAATTCAAAACAGCCTTGATGTGCTGGACCGTGGTGCCGATAAGGTTACTAACCGTTGTCACCGAGTCCATGTTCAGTTTAGCAGATGGCAAGCTGCTCACTAGGATCTGAAAAGCTACTGTAATTAGTGAACCCCCGGATCTTCCCATGCTTCTGTGTTCGGTGCTGGAGCTCGTTGATGCTCCATCCCCCCCTTGGTCCGGATGGCCGTCCGGTGAGATTGTGAAACCGGATGGGAGTAATGGGATGTATGATGGATCTTCACCACTCATTGCCACATTAATGGCTGGCAACTCTACTGGGCAGTAAACTACTAGTGAACCTGAACTGTCTATGCAGCTCTCTTGAAGTATTAGCATGTTGTTGTGACTTGTATTAAAGGCCTATTCAGACAACAATAAATTCTTATTAAACCAAAGTTTTTAAGTGAATAACCCTAAGCAAAAAAATTCGGTCTCCGGGATCTTACTCGTAAAACAGATATGCAATTGCCCGGATGCGATCCATTTGCGATATGAGCAACTTCTTGCACAGCATTGCCGTTGGATAAAACATCCCACTAAAGGCAAGGAAAGCAATGTAACAGGAACAAACTATTAAGTTGAATAAATATAAATATAATATGCATATCCTTGACATTGTTAAATCAGAATATACCTGAGGTCGGGTTCTTTCATCCTTGAAGAAACTAAATACATTTTGTGGACTGACAGGAAGCCAGAAGGTGGTAGCTGCACTAAGAACTATACCGTTGGGTTGTCCAGGATCAGAACCCTTATGAACAGTTACCCGGACACCAACTTCATTCAAACCGGAAACTGTTGTCCACCGATGACTATTTGATGTGCTGATGCTTGTGCAAAAATTGGTGACCATTCTTTGAGCAAGCTTCATCATGCTTCTCTTGCCATCAGGAGATGGAATGACTGAAACGTTTGGAAATTTCATTTAAAGCTCAAGAGAAGTAATAGATGAGCCCGTATATAAAATACTGAAAATATTACCTCCCCCAAGATCCTGGGTTGACGTGTTTGATACCATCAGGCAAGCAATCCTCTCGCACATTCTCTGAAGAGTTGCAAGCCACCGTTCCGCACCAAATGCCAAACCACTATGCACAAGATCCCTGTAGAGTCTATGAATTGAAGTCTTATCTTCAATCTCCACGTGCTCCAACCATGTAACCTGTAAGCATTTTTTATGTATGTTTGAAATTAAAGTCTAGCAGAACCGAGCATGCAAAGATTCAGAGAATAAATTAGAGCAAACCTTGGAGTAGCCATTAGGCATGTCTTGAATCAAGCACCCAGAAGGAAGCCTATGAGATCGACATTGAGCAGCAAATTGTGGCAAATCATAAGAAACATTTACTATAGCCCATAACCCTTGCTCAATTTGCTGACAGTATCGAAGGATATAAAATTCGCGTGTGGATACCAGCGGGGAGAGCACCTGCAACTCTTCATACATCTGCAAAACAAGACGAGAATTAGCAATAGGAACAAAATAAAATAGAGAACAAGACCTGAATATACAAAAAACCAAAGCACCATTACCAATTGCAAAGAACCACTGTGAGTACCCCACATCCCATTTGAAATCACTTCGATTGTCTTGGCAAACAACATAATGGTAGGGAATAGATCCACCCATTTGTTCTGCAGAAGTATTCGTTTTTCGATGTTAAAGTTTTGAATTCTGATCAATACCAAAAGGAGGGATTAAATGTAAAGGACAACATAGCGAACTTACAGAATCCATAAACATGTCAACCAAAGCTAAACCATTCATGATTACAACGCCAGAGTCTCTCGAAGCTTCAATCCTAACATTGGGAGATTTGAAGTGGGTATTAGGCCTAGGGAAAATTCTTTCATAGGTTTCGAGATTAAGAACATCTCTGCCATCATTGGACTTAATCCATAAAGGCTCGTTGCTCTGCAAGAGCCTGAGCATTTCTTCCATTGCACTGGCGGCAATATCGGACATGAGGGACTTGTCCATGTCCGAAAAAACGACGGGCTGGAAAGGTAAATTTGGCATTGCTGATGAGCTTCCGGGGAGAAGTTCTAGATCAAGTGATGGACCCGAAACACCATAGCCGTCGAAACTCGCCATCCTGAAATCCAATGAAGAGATATGAATGGGCTGTACGGGTGGGAGTTGGGAGATTGGCCTCCCTATGTACTTGGCCGCAATGCTAGATACTCTATCAAGCTGCAAAAGTGCAACAAAACTTAAAAAAAAAAAAATTATCTCATATTATCATTAATGGAGAAGTAAAAAAAGAAAAAGGCAAACATGGGAAAGACCTCCTCCTTTAATTGGGCATTTTCCATCCTCAATTTCTGGTCATCGAAATAGGAATCCTCGGAGACAGGAGGGCCACCGCAGGAAGGGCAGATGACATTTTTCAGCGCTTCTCGGATGGCTATGTTCTCACATCGGATCTTATCATTCTCAGCACGAAGAGCACAGTTATCGTCTCTTTCGTGTTGTGCCTAAGGAAACACCATGACCACACGTGAATGAATGAAGGAATGAAGGAGAAGGAAGAGAAAAAGAGCAAAAGTCCCTGCTGAATCCACCTTCATCTGGGTCCTTCTGTTTTGAAACCAAAACTTGATCTGCCTGGGTGCCAGTCCCAGCTCCCTACTCAACTGTAACCTTTGCTTCTCATCTGGGTGTGGGCACTCCTTGAATATTCTGCACGTTTTAACCAACAAAACCAATTCCTTTATTCAAAAGAAAAAACAAAACCAAACTAACAAGCAGCAAAGAAAGTCACGGCAGCTTTCTTACGATTCAAGCCGCTGAATCTGATGTGCAGTGTGGCGATGGTAAGGCTTTTTCCGCCTAGAAGGGTCGGAGGGGTCGTGGTCCCCACCGGACCCACTCCCTCCGCCGCCGCCGCTTCCGTAATCCATATATGGACTGCACGTCGGTCTCTCTTCCAATAACACCTTAAATGAATAGCAAAAAGAAGAAGAAAAACACTCTTTTATACCATAGGATCACTCATTCTGATTTCAGCACCACCCATCAATACAATAGGAAAAAAAACTTTTGTTGCTAATATACTGAGAGGTAAAGAGCAAGAACAAAGAAATAGATTTTGAATGAAAAAAAAAGGATTGAACCAAGCTTTGGGAAGGAGAAAAACGGGTGAAATGAAAATGAATTTGGGTGAGAGTGAGATTAGGCAGAAAATGTGTTTTGGTTAAGGGGGTGTAAATGTAGGAGGAGAGAAGCAGCACAGCAGGCAAAAGGCAGCAAATCAGAGAGTCCTCTTGCCTGGCCTGCTCTCGCAACTCACACAAATAACTCTTATTTACTTCTACCAAAGCCCCCAAACACTCGGCAACTTCTGCTTCTTCCTTAAAGCTCTAAAACCTTCATGCATTTGCTCTTTCACTTTTGTATAAATGAAAATGAATGATTATCAATCTCTCTCTCTCTCTCTCTCTCTTCCCTTCCTCTCTGTCTTGTTCTTCAATATTATGTCATTGTGTGTAAAGGGTTTTAAAAGACCATTTCCATTTGCATTTGCCTCTTTCAGACACGTTCATCATACATCATACATACATGGGCCAATTATTTTATAAAAAATAAAAGGCCAAACTACACTAATACTCATCCAATTATGTTTAAATGATTTTTTCATTAATAAACTTTCGAATATTATAAAATCGTCATTACATTTTTCAAATAATGATAAAATCGTCTTTTAAAATTTATCAAACCGTTATGAAATGGTAATCAAACAAATCGAACAATTACAAAATAGTCTTTCTTGGCCCGTCAACTTTTAAATAATATAAAATGATCATTAAAAAATTATTAGATGATTACAAGATGGTAATTAAAATTATCAAGCTATTACAAATGATTATTAAACTTATCGAAATTTATTAATATTTATAACATTTGACAATGGACGATTAATAACCCTGATACAGTTACTGGCGCTCGAACATATAATCTCTAAAAATAATAACAATTCATCTAACCACCGCTAATACTTTTAATTTGGTTAGGTTTTCATTAGTATGAAAAAAAAAGTATCGCATCATCACCATCAACAAACTCAACATGTTCCAATGTTGAGGTGGGGAGAACGAAAATAAACATTTAAATGATCAATTACCACAAAACAACAATACCTTAACATATGCATTCCATACTTTTCAAACTTCAAGTTCCACTTCCAAAACAGTTGTCTTTCACACAGACAACAACTATGTAATGGGGTTAATGGCATAAGAAATCCTCAAACTCTATTCAAAATTCAAATTGGTCCCTAAATTTTAATATATTTTACTTGAATTCTTCAAATATTTATATCTTAGTGATTAGATCATTACGTTAGCCTAAGTATCAATCTGGACTTTAAATATGAACTCACATGTAATGGGAAGCGTTTTTCAAACACATCTATAAAGTGTAAGACATGCATGCATTTACTGCATGAACAACATGGATCAAATTTTAGAAATACAATAAAGTACACGAGTCTAAATTTTGATAAAATTAATATACTTTTAGTATTTAAATACTTAATTAAAATGTTTTAAAATTTAAAAATCAATCCAAAAATTATATTGAACTTTGAGAATATTTACACGTATATCGGGATAATTTACCTAAATAACAGTATTTAAAAAATTATTTTTTGAAATAATAAAATACATCTTTTCCATACTTTGCAGGATAAGAATATGTTTTCATTCTAAGATATTTTATTAGATTATATGTGTTTGCGTTATTATATTGCACATTTAGTTTTGTCATGTGTTTAAATATAATCTTTTAAATATTTTTATTGAATGATTAAATATAAAATTCGGATACATGTCGCCATTATTATTAGATCAAATTAGGCTTGTATTGGTGTTTTTCATATAAATCATGTGTTTTTTGTAATAAAATTTATATGATTCTTCTTTTAAAGACGTTATTTTTTATTTAAAATTTTTATAACACCTTTCTATTATCATATAGATAAAAATATATTAAGCAAATACAGTGACATATTTAAAAATATTTTTTAAAATAAACACATATATTAATAATATAAAATTCTTAAATAAGATTAAAACAAATAAAATTTCAGAACTATCTATAAAATAAATAATTAATAAAAAAAATTCGAATTTAGAGTAAACGTCCTTAATAAAATAATTAATTAATTAAAAATTCAAACGTGTAACATAGGTTTTGCAAAAATGAATGATTAGAATCCTATAATGACCAAACTAACCTTTTTATTTATTTATTATTATTTGAACTCTTATTTTCCAGCGGCTGGTGGTAGTGGAGAATTGTGGAAAAGTAATTGTTTTGGTACGGTAATGAGAATGGATGGACCCAAATCCCAAGTTGAGACCTTTACAGTCTCTCTGAGAACAAAGTCAAAGCTTTACACCTTTTGGGAAGGGGCGCTATTCTCTGCTCCTCCCCCGCCCTTTCCCAATCGCGCTACCCCTTACCATCTACTAAAACATCATGTGCCCAAATCATTCTCTTTTTGCTCAACTACATCATAAATCTCTTTTTTATATCCAAATAATAATTTTAACTAAATTATAAATTTATCAAATTATTAATTATAATAAATATATAAATATTCTACAATAATCGATAAATTTTAATGATCACTTTGTAACAAAATAATAAAATCTAATAACTATTTTATAATTCTTTGATAAATTTAATGAAAGTTTTTAATTTTTCAAAACCTCAATGACTAAAAGGTTATTCAAGCCTAGTTTAACGATCTCCAATATATTTTTTTATCTTTTATTCCTTAACATCAACTACCAAAGTAGTACTTTTTTTCCTTATCTTTTTACAAAAGTTTTTATTTTTTATTTAGTAGTTTACATTATTTTATATTTTCGTATATAATTATTAATGTTTTCATTTATATTTATTGGTGAAAATAAAGTTGGTCTTGTCCGTTGTTGACAATTTATTCTTTCTAGTTTGGGTAGAAAATTACAGCTGGTGAAAATATAAGGTAAAATGATAACTTTTACCTTTGTAGTAGACTCAATTTATCATTTTTGTCTCAATCGTATTTTTGCATCAATTTAGTCCTCGAATTTACTCAATTGTATCATTCTATACCCTACCTCTAACTTAAACCATAAATTATAAATCTTAAACCCTATATCATAACTATATATCTCTAAACCCTAAATCTTACATTGGAGCTTATAATTTAGGATTTTAAGTTAGGAGTAAGATATATAACGAAGCAATTAAACAACTTTAATGGTTAAATTGATGCCAAAATATGATAATGACGAAAATAATAAATTAAGTCTACTAAAAGAGCAAATGTGACCCTTAAACGCTTTTTACGTGGGTGATTTTTTTTTCATGCATACATTACAAGGAAGGTTTCTTTAAAAGGTGTGTCATGCCCCTCTCAGCCAAATTGAAGGGTATTAATAATGACCATAGTAGGTGATATCAAACATATAGTCATTATGAATATTTGTGAGTTAACATGCTATATAGATTTAATAGTCATATTTCAGATTATGTTTTGATAAATCATGTGGATATATCAAAGGTCATGTTCATATATAGTGATCAATAAAAAAATGGATTCTTTAGAAATTCTAATAAGCGGATATATCTATACGAAAAATTATGTGAGACATACAAATGATTGTTTTTGAATATAACCTTAAGATATAATAATACCATTCTTTATAATTTTGTCAATTAAATTATTTTCATTTAAGTTGTTACATAAAATTTAGTAGAAAAATATAATTAATTTAAAACAATTATAGTTAAAATATTCAAAATTTATTAATTTTGACACTTACCTCAGTCATTCAGTTTATATAAACTATACATAGATATTAATAGTGGTTTAACGTCCTATACATGTAGGAGTTCTCCATTGACACAATTCTTTATAAAGATAGAAGTTAATGTCAAGTGCACTTTGTTTTGCCACAAATGTCATTTTATGTTTGTAATAATTAATTAAATAAATAGGCTCTTCACTATCGAATTTAATTTGTCATTTTATATTCACTTCAATAACTTTAGAGAACACCACCCTGGGTTGTAAATGTTTTTGGAATCAATTAATCCTATATTAAAGAAGCAAAATTGAACTTCCCAAGACTATGCACTTATCCTACATGTCCTATTTGTTTTTCATTACACTCCATTTAAATTATATTCTACACAATTAAATACACTCTACCTTTCACTTGGAGAGAAAACAATAGCACGATTATATATGTATTCACTATGAGGATGTACATTAATGAATGGGAACTTTAATGATATATTGTGTATTTTTTTAAAAAAAAAAATTATAATCAATAAATATTGAACTCTGAATTCTGTGTCTGTTTAATGTATATTTTAGTGTAACAACAGAGACCAGCCTTCACAATGGAAACAACCATTATGGTCGAGATGAAATCAACGCATCACCCTAAAAATTCTTTTGTATACATGTGTGTATATACATTAACAAAACCAGACAATCTCAACGTCCATCACATGTCTCTAATTTCTCTTAAAAGATTTTTCACCAGATAGATCGCGTCATAAACTTTTCGAATCGAATAAAATAAAATTCAGATCACATTTATAAGAACATCACATATCCTAAGAGAGGACAAATAGTAGTACCCACTGAATGGAGTACCAACGACACTGGAACCTTAATGTCTGTCGATGGTTTAAAGAGTTTCAACTTTCAACCCACTGAACCAATCCAATACCTAAACCTACCGTATGCCGCAAGCGTAATACTTGTTAAGACTAATAAATCTCAGTCAACTAAACCAACCATTGACTTTCACTTGTGGTAATTTTTCCAAAGAAAAAAATAAAACACAACGTGGCGATTTAACGATCGGGAAAATGTTGTAATAAATAGTCAATATAGACGATAAGAAATTTGAATTACTTGCTGCAAGGGAAGTGTTGGATGGATTTAATTAGGCAATGCAGTTTAAGGAAGACAGAGAAAGAAGTAGCTTATTTCAAGGGTTTTATTACCAGTAAAGCAATCCAAAGAAAGGTCTTGAGTTGTAGCTTAAGGAAGAAGATGTAGATGAAAATGGAGCAAACAAAC